CTCAATGACATTTTTCAGGCCTCGCGATGGTTACACTTTGACCCAGGCTACAAAAGCATGTCATATCATGTCATGTTCTGTTGGGCGGGCGCCTTCGATCTGCTTCTGCGAGCTCTCCTAGCTGCACGAAACTCTAGCCAAACCAAAGGGGCATCGCACCTGGATGTCTGCGAACTGCCTGGCCATTGTTGTGGTAACCTCTGATCTAAACTCCTCCATCTTCCTTGGCAAAGGAGCATGACGACTACAGACTCAGTCTGGAGGGCTCCGGCTGTTCTTGCTCCTTTGCCATCTTGTCGAGGATGTCCGTGGCACTTTCCCTACGAGTCGGGGCTTAGTGGCATAGGCTTCTTGCAGGCCGGGCCTTGTCAGGAGACGCTGGTTGAGCTCTTCTATTTCCTTGTTCAAAGCAGATTTCTCCTGACAGTTTCCAAAGAAACCCTCTCTCTCTCTAGCTCTCCTGTCTCATTCCACGCCTCAGATTCTTGGTCCGCTTCTTCCAGCATTTTCTGCTGAAGGCGGGCCAAGCAGGCTTGATGCCTGGCTGCCCTCAAACCCTGTGAGTGTCTCTCGCTCTCTCTCTCTCTCTTAAGCCATCTCAAACATTTCAAGTGACTTGTCTGGTTGTGTCCAGGCGTGTCGTTGCTCGATTTTCAGTCCGCGGTCTTTTGCACTCTGACTCAGACTCCTCACAGACCCGCTTGAAGAAGTACTCCTCAGCCAGGAAGCGGTACCAGGACAGGTCAGGAATGGGCTGCATCCCTGGATGAGCACCTAGATGCATCCACTGCTCGCAGTCCCCTTCTACAGCCTTCCACTCCGGGAGCTCCCCTCGATTTGGGTCACCACTTCGAGCAAAGTTGCCTAAGTAACAGGACATGATCTGCGACAGCTTGGACTTTGCTGCCTTTGTTGCCTTTGCCCCTCTCCAGAAGGTTGCATCACTCCCATGAACGCTTCTCTTGGTGCCTGCGAAGCAGTACACAAAAACCGGGCACTTCGAGGTCTTGCTAACAAGCTCAGCCATCAAATGTGTGCCAGCAAAATACCACAAGTCATCGCTGAGCTTGCTCAGGACTTTGTGAACAGCCTGGGGCTCGGCATCCTCTTCAGGCCAGTAGTGCAATAGCACCTCGCTGGCCCTGTGGCCAAATTCCCGCTGCAGCAGCTGGTCTAGGTCAGTCCGTGTGCGCACTTCTCTGAAGATCACCTGCTCCAACTCAGATTTGCCCAGGCCGTCCTGGGCCGTAACTCCTAGCAGAAGCGGCACCTCGACGAATTCCCCGGCCGCGAGCGCCTGCACCGAGGTCTTGGGCTTCACGGGCCTCACGGGCAGGTCGCTCGTGCTCCGTGCGTCCACGGCGGGCTCGTAGCAGTCCGCGGCCTCTGGCGCAAAGCTCCGCGCCACCAGCGCCGCCGCCTCCAGGCGCCGCAGCGCGCCCACGGTGCCGGCCGCGCCCGCGCCGGCCGCGCCCGCGCCGGCCGACGAGAGCAGCAGGTCCGCCAAGGCCTGGCCCGACTGCTCCGCTGTGCGGGGCCACACAAGGCTGCGACCGCGTAGGGACCGCACATTGTTCAGATCCGCACAGCTTTGCACCACCGCCCTGTGAAAGAGCCCAGCAGCCAATGGGGACACCAGCAGCGTGCACACGTACTGCGCCCCAGAGGACAAGCCCCAAACCGTCACGTTATCTGGATCCCCTCCGAATGTTGCGATGTGCTTCTGGACCCACTGCAGCGCACAGATTTGGTCAAGCACGGCGTAGTTCCCGCACCCGGCCACGCCACCGTGCACCGCTGAAGCAGCGTCCTCTTCCGAGAGCTCAGGGTGCGCGAAAAACCCAAAGAGACCCAGGCGATAGTTGATGTTCACACAGCAAAGGCCTCGTACAAAGCCGAAGCAGCTTGCAAACCCTGCAATCTTGCGCCGGCACAGAGATTATCAATATACACTAAACCAGCACAAAATCTAAAAACAAGACGAGGACCCACCTACAAGAGTATCTTATAGGGGGACCGTACGGGCCTCTCAAGGCTGCCACAGCTCATGCAGCTTTCCGCGCCTTGTCGAAGAGCCAACAGGTGTCCGCTTTCGTGCGGCGAGTGCGCGCAGTGGGATTTGCCGCCGCCGCCGTGGATGTAGACCAGGACGGGAGCTCGACTTGCCGGCGCCGCCGGCGCCAGGTGGGGCAGGTGGGGTAGGTGGGGTGTCCAGAGGTTCAGCTGCAGGCAGTCCTCGTCCTGCCCAAGCGGCCGCCCCGGCTGAGGACAGCACACAGGCGCCGGAGCCGCTCGCACCACCTGTCTGGGTGGCCGCCAGCGATCCGCCTCCGCGTACGTGGCCCGAAACTGGGCCACGCCATCCTGCAGCGAACCCTTCAGTTGCACACCCCCCACAACGACTTCGACATCCGACGTGTCCGACATAGCTTGGGCCCCAAATCTGCGAACCCACTCTCACAGCATCCATTCCCACATGGCAGGAGCACCGCTTGCGCATCTGCACCAAGTGGCTCCTGGCTGGCTCATTGAAATTCCTGAAATCGAGAAGCTGGTGTTCAGGCGAGACTCTGAGAAGCATCGATCACCACCTTCTGCTCAACATTTTTCACCTTCATCATCTTCTGGGCAAACCTGCACCACACTCTCCGTGCACGCTTTACACTTGGTCGTCAAGTTCACTCGCTCATCCCAGCAGTCATCCCCCAACTCCCAAACACCGACAAACACGACGACATGTTTAGAACTCTGCCTCAAGGTCATGCAGGTCTCGCTGCAAAGCTCTTGTTCTGGCCCAATGTTGGCAATGAGAAGAGCGCGTGCTCCGCCACCCAAGCAGTCCCTGGGCAATGCACGCGTGCCTTGCACTTGTGATGCAATTCATAGGGTGGCATTCACCTTACTTGTGTCATCAGGTGGGTGCCGTACCACATTCAATACATCCTTGAATGCTACATCTTCATGTTTGCTTAAGCTACTGGCACGAAACATCAAGGCTGGAATGCGAGGCAGCACGTCTCTGCAGGACAGATGCGTCGCCAGTTCAGGGTGTCTCTGTGTGTGCGAGTGCCTTCATAAGTGCATACGTCCGTGTGTGTGCGTGCGTGCGCGGGCGGGCGGAGAATGGGAAGCGCCTCAGCAGCATGGTAAGCGCAGAGTTGCGGACGCCAGTGCAGTTCTCGTAGCCTGCAAAGGAAAGGCGAAGACAAGCACACACGCTAACAAGATGATGCTCCAACCACTTCAATTGCCCCAGGGCTGCGGCCCGCATTCAGGTTGTTTACGACAGCTCCCAGATGCGAAAGCACCCTGTTGATGCCAATAGCCTCACAGTCTCGCGACTCTCGTGACTCTCGTGACACTGCCACACTTGTTCTAAGCCTACTCGAGTCCGCCCGTGCCAACTTTGCCTGCTTCTTGCGCAGCTCCTCGTTCGCCTCGCTCGCGGCCATGACCTGCACGAACCCGAACTTCCTGAATTCCACACCGACGGCAGAGGATGACTCGGGTTGCCCGGATCGCTAAAATACACTCTGCCAAGACCAGGTTTGATACGACACTGAAAGCAGAAAATGTGTTTGGACGAAAATATATCATTTCAGGCGCCATGAGTTGGGATTAATCCAAGTCAAGAACCAGTCTGATGAATTTCCGAAGCATGGTCAATCGCCAGAATCCCGTTCATCCCAACGCTACATGACACATCACTTGGGGTATGAAATAGCAATGCTACTTTTCTTGGAACCTCAGGCGAGCCATCTGTTGTTCTACTCCGCGTCGTTTGACAGTGCTTCCCAAACCCACCTTGTGCATTTGCGCAAAGTACACTTTGGCAGCTCAAGCTAAAACCTTTCAACTTTTGGTGTATGTCATAAAACGCATGGACAGCTCCAGCTCGAAACTCACAAATGTTCAGTAAAGGGACAGTTCCGTTTCGGCAGTCTAGAAATGTCTAGAATGCGAAGTACTCCACATGTTGGTGGCCCCAGCTCGAAATCGTGTCTTCAGTACACCTGTCACTGAGTCGATGCTTCAGGACCTAATGCTGTCTCGCCCGTTCTCGTTGTATCGCTTTGGGCCGCATGCCAAGCTGCTTCAAGAACACGTTTACATCTTGGATTGCTCCATGCCGTTTGCCAGCCTCAAATTACAACTGAAGCTCGAAACACATCGCAGCTGAAAAAGGAGGAACCGGCATCATACGTCATCATGTTTCATCGAGCCCATGAGAGGCTGCTAATCTGTCACCACAACTCGTGATGGTTCATCATGCATCAGCTGGTCTCCCATCTGAACCATGGCTTGCCGCTAGTACAATTGGGTAGGCCCTCTATTTTGGGATATTGGTAGGCACCCCATGTCCTCTCCAAATCAACAATAGACTACCGGTAATTTTGTCCGTTGCTCGTGTCTGTTGCCTTGCGTTCGCTTGTCGCTTCAATTGTTCCACGCAAACAACAATATGACAATACTCAGCCCCGATGCATTGGCGCTGCTTCTCACCGACCTTCCCCAAGACGAGGCCAACATCACCCGCAAGATCAGCAAGCTCTGCTTCCCCGCCAAGTACTCCGGCACCAACGAACCCGTCCTAATCCACGGGGGCATCATTCAACTTGGCGATTTCGAGGTATCCCGGGCGCCTGCACTGGTCGTGCCCAAGCTCACCGTCACGGCTAACAACGTGCTGAAGATCCAGGTCTTCCGGGATCTTCTCCCGCCCGCTGGAGTGGTCCCGGTTTTGCCGTGCCCCGGTACGCGAGCTGCTTCTCCTCATCCCTCTTTTTCGCCTCTGCCCAGCTCAAGGCTGCGGGGCCGAATGCCCCATGACACACAACCCCATCGATGAGAAGGTCGACCAAATCATCCTTGAGCTGTGGTCCCGCAGTCTCTGCACCATCGAGGGAAAGAAGGCCACCGACTCAGAGGCGGACATCTTCGCTGTCTTTCTCAGAGCTGCCAGCTTTGCACTGCTGCCTATCTTGGGAACCAACGCTGCCGGGGTCTTCATTGAGCCCAGGGCAAGCACCAACAGAGGACCGGACCCCAACTTCAAGATCATCTGGCTTCCAGGCGCCAACCATGCTCAAGCACTACATGCGGCTCGCACCTTCAACCGCACCGTCTGCCTCGTGCGCATGAAGGGCCGCTTCGGCATCAGGGTCCACACCAAAGACGAAGAACAAGCTTCGACCTGGGGTCCCCTTCATCAGCATCGACATCCAGTCCCACATGGAACACAGCGGAACGCCATATGTGAACTACTGGCCAACTGGAACTGGCCAGCTAAAGTTCTTCAACCAGGCCGCAGCAGCAACGAAGCCATGTCCTGGACCATCGGGGCCAAGGAAGAACCACCCGCCACTGTCATCAACGGCTTCGGGCAAGAAATCCTCGTCACCGAGGTCAAGCAGCTCAATCACACCGCCGACCATGCACCACGTCCGATCCTTGGACCGACCCGGCGCACGACCCGTCGCAACTCGCCGCCAGATCCGCCCCCAGCGCCAATCTCAGCTCGGCAGGCGGCAAACGGATCGACCAACTTGGCGAACAACTGAAAGCCGAAGTCACCTCTAGCTTCAAGAAACAGCTCGAACAACTACAACACTCTTCCTCCTCAAACGGCGCCACCACCAACGTTGCCGAGATCAAGAGTCAGAACGTCAAGTTCGGCAAATGGTTCGAGGAGGTCAAGCAGCAGGCACCGATGCCCGCCTCAACCAATTCCAGTCAGCTCTCGCCCAGCAGCAGGGAGACCTCCACAAAATGGTTGACTCCAATTCTTTGCTGTCCACTATGGGCAACTTCCGCACCGAGTTCAGCGACGAGTTCGGGCCTCGCTTCGACAAGTTGGAGTCGCTTCTGGCGAAGCGGCACAAGACCGAGACTTGACTAGGCAACAGGGGAGCCGGGCCTGGACCACCCGGCTCCACCACTGGCACACTGAGCAAGCACATGCTCAGCAGGTCCACACCACAGCGAACCACGTCATGGACAGCTTCCTGCCCTAGACATGGAAATCTATGTCACCGTCTTGCCCTTCGGCTGATAATACTACTTTTCTGGAATGCCCAGCCCACACCACTGGCAACCCCCCTTGCTCGGCACTACTACCACAGCGCAGCAGGTTTCAGTCTGACTCCTGCCTGCGACCTTGAGCCGGGGCACTGCCATTGGTGGCCTTTGGGCACCCACTTCTCTGATGACCCACACACACCTAGCTATGGGCTCAGAGGTCTCCGAATCGGGGAGGCGGCCAATCCTGGCCCGTCCTCCTCCTTCTTCATCACCACTTCAAATCCAGGTGGACTACGCGGGAAAGAGCCACACTTGCTCGACCTCGGAATCGGCATTCATGCCGTCTCCGAGACTCTGGTTTCCGAGATGATGGAGCATCGGGTTCGCTCCACCATCAGTCACTTAGCACGACCACTCGGCCGGCAAGCCCGGACGCTGTTTGGCCATCCTTCGGCCCTTCGCACCTCATCGTAATGGGCCGGAATATGGAGTGGAGTCGCCACCGTAAGCGACTACCCATGCAATTCGGTCTCTCTGGACTGGCCACCCGAAATCTGGCAGTCCAGCAGAGCTCAAGTCACCAGACACCAAGTGGGGGGGCTTTCCGTCCTCATCGCAAACATCTACGGGTTTGCTCAAGGGCCAACATGCCTCAAGCAGCACAGCTGACGGAAGACATCCTCTCCCACGTTACACAGAACTTAGTGATCGGCTACACCGGCCTTGCCGCCATCGTCCTCGACATGAACGTCGACCCGCTTGACCTGTGACCTGCCACAGATGCGTGTCTGGGAGAGCTTCGGCTGGGTCAACGCCCAATCACTGGCAAGGGACCGCTGGCAGCAATCCTCTATGCCAACTTGCAAAGGCAAGACGGAGCGCGATCAGATCTGGCTCTCGCCACAACTTGCGGCACTTTGCAACCAAGTTCAGGTGCTCCCCACCTTTGCCGACCACGCCACGGTCAAAGTTGGATTCTCCACCAAGCAACATCAGCCCACCTACCTTTCGTGGCCTAGGCCCTCTCCCATTCCCTGGGAACAGGTCAACGTTGCAGCACAAGCACAACCATTCCCACTGCTTCTCGACCCACAAGTAAACCTTTCCAGCTCACTCAGTTCTTTCGGGGCTGCTTTTGAAGCCTCCTTTGACGGTCACGTCAACAAAGACCACAACTCCACCCTTACACACCAACAACGGGGGCGCGGGCAGCAACTCGCGCCACGCACTATGACCACCTCTCCCCTCATGTGCAAGGCCAGCAGGCCAGGAGAGACTTCACTCCGCCACGACCTGGTGGCAAATAGCGTTCTGCTCTGGTTCAAACAGTCCGAAGGATTCAGTCCTACCACCACTCGATCCAGGCAGGCAAGCTCTCTCTGGATGCCATCATCTACAGAGCTGAGCTCTGGGGATCCATTCTCCGTGGTCGCGGCTTCTCACCATCCTTCTCTGTCTGGTGGGGCCAGCAGGACTTTG